TGCTTGCTCAATGGTTGGGCTGGACTGCATCGCAGCCGAAATTGAAGCCCCCTTTGGCTACTTGGGCTGTGGTCTCATACTTGAATCAACTGCGAATCGCTGAGTGAGCTGTCTTTTCTGGACCATTCTAGAAGAGCTGAGGGGCAGATCAGAACGATTTGCCATGCTTTGCCGCATGCCTGCAATCACAGCAGCAAAGGGATAGGCCTCAGCCCTGGTCAAGTATTGTTGCAAACACATCCGATTTTGTTGTGATTAGAGTCTACGATGGAGTCAATTCACAATGATCATTTGTCACTACACACACACACATCACATGTGCTGTGTATAGTTCTCGTATCGCTGCATGAGTGCTTGCATTGCACCACTCAGGAAATGATGGATGACTACAATAATCTGTTGATGGTGCGATCCCCAATTCTTCTGCAACTGCCAGCTATGCCGTGCGTTTTGATGACAGGCTCAGCTGGATCCTTCCTCCTGGAAAGTGCCACATCTGACGGAGCATGCGCTGCTGGATTTCCGCTCCTCGTCAGAAATTCCCCAGGCCTGCCGATTTCAGAGACGCCTACAATGACAAGAGCATTGCAAGTACTTTGCGACTACTGGTTTGAGCACGCGGAATCGAGAAAGCATCGCAAGTGTTGAGCAGCAATGCCCCCTGCATTGCCAGACACTAGCAAGCGCGATCCTGCACCCTGAGAAAGCGTTACAATTGTGGCTGTAGGTGTCATGTGTTTGATTGATGTCGTCGAAACGCACAAAACCGTGGAAAATGATGGGGACACAAGAAAACCCTTTGAGGAGAAAAGGTTTTGGCTTTCCAGCAGCTGCAAAACTGCACTTGGCATAATACTTTCGCACACAATTGCAGCTCCAAGCCGAAGCTGTGAAAGTGCACACACAACTTCTGAGCCAGAGCTGCAAAGACGACTTGGATTACGGTACAGATAGAATCACGTCAGAGCAATTTGACAACCATACCTTTCAGCAATTCGGTCATGGCAACACACTCATTCTGCTTGCATCATGCTGGACATTCGCCACAAGCAGGGCAGATGATTAGGATCGAATTTAAAAAAAGGAAGAGCTTGTAAATTGTACCCGAATGAGTTTTGGATTTACTTTGAGCACGTCAATCCCCCCCACTTTGGCAACACAGACGCACGATCATGCACCCATACATCGCAGACAAACACGGACATGACAGGCATCACAGACGCAGACACGCAGACACGCAGACACACACACACACACACAGACACACGGATATATTGATAATGCCGGCTGCCGGCCTCCAGTATCTTTGATGACTTGCAGCCCGAGCCAACGTTGGATCACACTTATTGTAAGCTGCGGGCAGCCCGCCTCGGCCAGCATTAGCTGATTCGTTTGGTTGGCTTTGAAGTGTGAGTTTGCTAGAGGTTTCAAAGTTGTAGTTTCGGGCCCCGCGGAGTTTCGGAACACATATTACCTTAGAGGGGAAGGGATGAAACCGGAAGAGCAAGCTAGAGAGAATGCCGGCCGAGGCCCCAAGAACTGGGTTGGGAAGGGAAAGGGCTGGGTGCGCAGGGCTACAGCCGTAAGGGCTACAGCTGTCAGGGGCGAGTCCCAGGAGCGCCTCTGGCGATCAAGGTGTTGCCTGGTTGGGGGCAGTTGCTTGGTCCGCAGATGTTACTCCAAAGCTGGGTCTGGGGCGCGGCCGCAGTCCAAGAGCAAGGGGCAAAGCCTTGCAGCGGTAGTGAAAGCGGGTTGGCTCAAGGGCAGCTAGAGCTGTTGTCCAAGGGCGCGAGACAGTCAGCTCAAACCAGCTGGAGCGTGGGTTGGGGTCTCGCAACATGGGTAGCGTGGGTGGATGGCCGGGGGAGGGGGTTCAGACGGTGGGAAGATCCCGATGATGTACAGAGGGGGCCGAGCCCAATATCTATGGACCGTTGTTTTGCAGTCCGTTGGCAGCAATCGAACGCCATCGATGACTTGAGGTGCTTTGACGCATCCCGAGAACCTGTGCATCTTTGCAGCACCATGCAGAAGAGCGCTTGTTCATGTTGGGTGAACATGTTGACTGCAAGATTGACTGACTGCTTTTGAAGGTGTGCAGGGAACGTGGGTGTATCCTGTCATTTGGCCTTTGCCAAGGCCGCACATGCTCCGTGGAAGAGCGGGTCCAGGACACAGCAGGACTGTTGCTGCAAGCTTCTGGGCCAAGCAGCGTTCGATCTTCGAAGCGTCAACAAGCCACGAGGAAAGCCGCCATCAGTCCCATCAACCGTGCCAAGCGACCTGGTGAACACGGTGCCGGTTCTCAACCAGGAGACAGCAGGAGTTATCAGACAGCCTTTGCCTTACAAAACCTACAGGAGAAAGCTGCAGACACCACTCCTGAGCCTCAGAAGGAGAGGGGGCAAGGTTTTGTCAACTGAGATGTCGGTTTCCGGGTGTTTCCGGGTGCCATGGCTTTCTTTGTTCGGACCACCTTTGCATGTTGCGTGGAAGATTGGTCGGCATTTGCAGTTAGCATGCAGGACCGGCAGCTGAGTCCTACCTCTGCGGGAGATCTGCTTCAGGCCAAGGGCTACAAGCGGCTAGAAGATTAACATGTGCTGCTTGTACCACCAACCGTCAAGCTGTGGATTCAGCTGCCACGCTGTTAACAGCAAACAAAGAGTGTAGAGTTCAATTCTAGCATGGGCAGGAACTGCGGGAACTGCGCAGACAGCAGCAGGACTGTTTGCAACCTGACCATTGTTGACACATTCTTGTCTGCAAACGCGCTGCATAGCATTTTGACGCGGCCGGCATATCTAGTATTGACTTGCTCCGACTGAAACCGAAACACAAGCATTTTCCTAGCAAAAGCATTCATGACACTCCTCAAGCCGCAGTGCTTCCTTATTCAAAACCTTGCCAGGATTATTTTGCTCAGCAGTCGCAGCAGCAGAAGGAGTTCCATGATCGGCACTGCAGCTTGGATTCGATGTAGTATGACTAGTATTTCATGGGTGGGCATGCTTTGTCGTGAAACAAGTTGATATCAGCACTGATTCACAGCACTAGAGAGATACTGGACACTTGCCAGGAAGTGCTTGCGAGTCAGCGAGAGAGTCACGCGTGTCAGGTGCATTGCTGCAGCACCTCATCAATGCTGTGGGCCACCTGGCATGAAGGTTCTGAGCAAAAGTCACGCCTAAGATTTGTCGTGATCCCGCGATGTCGCGATGCACAAGTGCACAGGCATGTTCAGCGTTTCTGACATGGACATCATTCGTTGTGTCACAAACACGAAGTGTGCAATGTCAGCACCCAATTTCTAGGCCCAGGTCAGCGCGGTCCTGGACATTTGGCTGCAACATGTGAGGTACCGCTCGTCTCTAATCACCTGTTCAAGTTTGTCAGTGCATGCTGATTGCCGTGCTGTTCAGTGACTGCAACGAGACGGCGACACGATGACAGTAAGTCACGCGCTGAGTTCAGGAACGTCCGGGCAATGGTGTGGAGCACCTGCAACTGCGGCATCCAAAACTATGGTCCACTGATGCAGCTTGGCGATCAAGTAATTCATAGAGTGAAGTTTCGCAATGAGTTGAGTGGCTGTGAAAACAGGCTGAAGTTCAATGCTGGCCCTGATGTCGCCAACAGCTTTGATGCTGACCTTCTGCAATGGCCTACCGTTATTTGCCGTTCCTTCTACTAGCTCCCCCTGCTGCCTCCTTGGGGTTTTGAATGCCGACTTGGTGGCAACCGCTCCTGGGTCTTCCTGCATTCAACTTTCCAGGGCTTTTGCATGGTCTTGGACAGTCCTTTGCTGAAGGCTCAGATTGTCACTTGCAGGCCATCATTAGGCAAACTCGTAATAAGAGGGCGAGAACGGGAAACAACGTTGGGCAGTGAGAGGTCAAGTCCACAGAGAGGTAAGAAAAGAAGTATCCAAAACAAGAGAGAAAGGCGGGGTGCAAGAGAGCCTAAAGAAGCAATGAACAAGAGAGAAGACCGAGGTTGAACGTTTCGCGCCACAACTGGTGGCCCCCTGCGGTTTGCACACGCTGCGCACGCTGCAAGAGTTGAAGTGCTAACGGTTTGACCAGCTGACACTGGTCGTAGAGAAGCAGGCTGCGTCGTGATAAGAAGCATGGCATTGTCGCATGTGGTTGCTACAAGGCCAATTTCGGATCAACGCCTGCGCAGGATTGTAACTAGTGACACATCACGTGCAGCCCATCTTTTCATTCGTCCCGATTCCATCACGTGCAGCCCATCCTTGCATTCCCTGATTCCTGGCATTCATTGTGCTGGTCGCAAGCAGCAATTCCACTACAATGTATTATGTCAGCGGGAATGTACAGTTGATTTTTGGGTGCAGCTTGATGGGCCTCCCAAAGGGTGAGACCTGTTCTTCGGGACGATGTTCATAGATCCAATCTGTTAGGGAGACCTGGTAGTCGGCTTGCCCGGCTGCTCCCTTCTGAGCAATGTCTTGGAAGCAAAGTGATAGTAGGAGCAGCGAGTTCAAAAGCGTTAGCTTGAATCGCATTGCAATTCCTTGTAGCATTCTTGCATATTTGGCTCGGTGCCAGACTTGTGGTTTGATTGGTGCAGCTGGGAGGAGAACCAAAAGGCTTGTTGGGGCAGACCTGGATAAATACACCAGCAAGCTCGCACAGTTCATGCAACACAATTATGCAGCATCTCGAGATATTGCAAGTGATTCTACTGCGGCTAGTATATGTTGTATTCTTGTGTTGGAGGCGTAATTCAATGCAACTTGCTAGGGCAGATGATGCAAGATGATTCTGGTGTTGAATTCCTGCCTGTCACATGGCACAACGTACTTGACTTGAAGCTACCTATGCCACACCGAGGTATTTTTGCGAAACAACTTTCAGCTCAACGAACGAAGCAAGTGTGAAGTGGAGCCAATCATACTTGGGCATCAACAAATGGTCTACATATACAACACCTGATGCCACTTGATGCCAGCATTGCCCATCAGCCTGACGCAGGCTTTTTTACTTGCATCCATCGAGTACAAGCTGCAAAATGCGCAGTATGTGCCCCCGAAACAGCAGGGTTCTCAGCGCTAAAGTTGAGGTTTCAAGTCGATAATGTAGAAGCGCAAAGTTTGCCAAGGCGTGAGCTGCAAAGACAAGCTCTGAATCGCCGGCGCAGTCAACTCAGCATGCCGTTGGTTTTGAAGGGCACTCACGGCAATCAGTGTGACTTAGGTCGATCAGTTGCATATTCAAGATGCCACTCCAAAGAGCTTTCCATTTTAGGTCTGAGTTGTTTTCAGGCTAAGTCCCGCTTAGTCCAGCTGTGCAACCAGTCAGTGCATGTTATACTTCTGAGGCAACTCTATAATGCAAGGCGTGACTGTGCGAGACTCGGACAGTCAGCACAAGACGATGTAAGACGTAAGAGAATCAACCGTAGTGTCGGTGTTTCCGATGCTTTTCTTGATTTTCCTTTGGCACGGATCAATCCATGACTTACCGGAGACGTTCCTGAAAACATCTGCCTGGCTCTTTGCGAGCATGAGGTCGATCTGCCTGACAGCATGAAGCTGGCAGAGGACTGGCTTGCTTCTGTCCGTGTCTTGCTTGACAAACACTGGGGGTTTCAGTATGCTGGTGTAGCACCAGCTTTGTCAGGAAGCAGATGTCCGACATGTTCTCGTGATGCAGTACCCATGCTACATATGGCTTATATATCTTGTGTCCGTGTGCCTTTGTGACTGCCTTTGTGCCTGTCTGCCTGTGTGCTTGTGTGCTTGTGTGCTTGTGTGCTTGTGTGCCTGCGGCGTGCCTGCGTGCCTGGTGGCTTGTTGGTTTTGTTTGTTTGTTTGCTTGTTTGTTTGTTTGTTTGTTTGCTTGGTTTGTTTGTTTGTTTGTTTGTTCTTGCAAAGCACTGTGAAGGGTTCTTCCGGCGCACTCGTTAACCTTATCGCAGCAAGACCACGAGAGGACATGCAGAGCAAGATGCACGAGAGCACTTGCAGAGCGTGCAGAGCTAGAAGCATGACAGCGTGCGCAGAGCAAGTTGCGCGAGGGAAGAAAAGCAGAGCAAGTTGCGCGAGGGAAGAAACGGTAAACCGCGCGTGAGGACGCGCGCGGCAAGCAGCGCGAGAGAACGCGTGCGGCGAACGGCGACGGGAGCACGTGCAGCAAAATGGGGGGGGGGGCTGCAGCTTGTTGATTTGCCCGTGCGGCCCTCTGCGCAGATCGGCGTGGCCGATGTGCAAACGTTAAGGGCCTGTGCTACTTGTACTTGTTGATTGGCCCGCGTGACGCGCTGCGCGGTTGCTTGCGTGGAGGACGCCGTGACTTGCGGGACAGCCGCGCGCAGAAGCATTCGGAGCGCGCTTGCGCACAGAAGCGAGCGCCGTCAGAGTTGACAGCCAGCGCAAACAAACCTGAAAATAGCAGCTTGCGCAGCTTGCGGCCAGGACTTTGGCTGAGAAGTTTGCAATGGAGATCTTGCACAGGGAGCTTGCAAAGCGAACTTGCGCAAAGACTACCAGCGCGCAGCACTTGTGCACAGAACTTGCAAGAGAGCCTCTCGAGCTGCGGCTCGAAGGCATGCTTTTCGGAAAGGACCTGCGTCGGTGCAGGAACAGCATGTGCCGCGGCACCTCGTGAAAACGTGTGATGACAGAAATGCTTGAAATCAACGCTCACTGTAGGATGTGCTTTCGGGCCACCCGTGGCTCTAGTTTGTTTCTTTGTTTCTTTGTTTGATTGTTACAAGATTTCACTTTTTGCAAGAGCCGGGTGCATACTATGCACTGAGGAAGGCAGGCTGCCTGCCTCACGGCTTCACGAAGGGCTTCTTCACCCTGAAAGGCTCAAGCGCCCTTTGAAGATCTGATTTGTCCACGAGCGACTTGTGAAGACCTGATCCAATCTGAAGCACAAGGCTTGTTTTCAGGTCTTGACATCTATCCCGGGGTGTGCGCTATTTGCCATTGAGAAGGAGAGTGCTCGCCTGCAGGTGGCGAGCTCAATTTTTTTGACAAGCCCAGTCCTCGGATCGCTTCAGAATGCAAACCAGCGAGCCCGCGCGAGAGCATGGGCCAGGCCAGAGAGCAGCTCCCATAAGCTGCTGGACCTGCTCGGTGCGGAGATCGCGTTTCTTCGGCTAGCTTGCAACGCATTGCCCAGAAGGAGTCTGTAGAGTTTGTATTTTCTCCTGCTCGGATCCCAAAACATTTCAGACTCAAGTGCGATTGAGTGCGCCAGGTTGGAGACCTCGTCATCTCAGGCGACTAGATTTGCGTTCGCAGACAAATGTTTCAGAGTCAGCATGTCCCAAGCCGCGGCCTGGAGTGCTTGCAACTGCACGATACATGGTTCGTCAGCCTTCGTTTTTGCGATGCAAGGACGTCAAATCTGAAAGCTTTGTCTTCACGGTGATTTTGTGATTTCACATTCACACTTGTGCTCTACGAAGCGCTCATGGCCAACACACGCAGCATCGTTTCCTGGGCACGCAGAAACACCCATGGTGGTTCAATCTGAGCAACAGGAGGGGCAAACAGCCAACGGTGTTCTGGAAGGTGTGAGTGCTGGGTTCATTCGGGACGGGCGCTCGATTTTGATCCTTTTGACCACACGAGGCAAACATGCGTGCCATGAGCTGAACAAGAAATGCTTGCATTCTGCGCCGGGAGTCGTGCGGTGGTTGCGTGAGCTCTTGTGGGCTTCTTATATGGGCAAAACGCCGCCTTGGTACGGTTCTTCCTGTGACTCGCCTCTGTGCCAGGCAGCTCCGCACTTTGAGCCAGGCTTCTCCTACAGGGCAAGCCTGGCAATTGCCTTGAAGGGCCCCATGCCATGGGTAGGTTCGGTTTCTTCTGGTGACTAAGCAAAGTTTTAAGATGCCGTTACACTTCATTGAAATTCTGAATCTCGCCGGGGAAGCATTCGGTGTGTGTCCTTTGTACAGTCACAGCCAGGTTTGTGTGATGCCCAGGGCAGCAGGGCGGCAGCCCCATATTTGCTTGCATTGCTATCTCAACAGAGCCAATGAGTCCAGCGTGTGCATTCGAGGCGCCTGTGGCTCTATGCGTCGTCACAGGCACGAGTCCGGCCATCGCCATGTTCTCCGGCCATAGCAGCTCAGGCCTTGGCCAAGCACTGGTATCGATCCATCAGATTGGTCCGGACCCAAGACCAGAGCCTGGCACCTGGCACCAGAGCCGTTCAGGCGACTGCCATCAATGAATCCAAGAAGGGTAAGCTCGTCAGCATCTCAAATTATGCAAGACCTGACACAGCCAGCTGAAGGTCAGGAAGCTAGAATTTAGGGAGTCAGGACGGGGATCAATGCACTGAGTCACTGAGGCTTTAGAGGTGCCACTGGAGACCATTGCAAACTTTTTGCCCCAGTCTCAGTGACTCAGCCACTGCTCGCCATAGATGCTGTTGCACTCGCTTCGGACAGCGTGGTGAGGCGGCAGCATTGCCGGCGCCGGGCCTGGGAAGTGCTGGTGCACTACCACCAAGCCTGGTTGGTGAGGCGAAGTTTGTGAGAGCGATGCGAAGTTATGATGCCAGGTTGCCATGGGTTGGCAGCATGGGGTCGAACATTTTATCAGGCATCACCTGCTCTCGGACTGCATTCGCAGCTTGGAGTCAGCCCATCGCTTTCAGAAGGCAGGAAGTGATGCTGCAAGCTGTGGGATGGCTTTTCCCGTTGGGAACACTTTGGCGCCTACGTGTTCTTGCCTCGCATATTAAATATGTATCCTTGGAGATGTCCAGGTTCTGGGTACGTGGACAAAGCTGCGCAAGGCGACTTTTGCAAGGTTCAAGGTGACCAAGATACGCCTGGACACTGGCCAGCGCAAGTGGTTTGGAAAGCTTCTGATTGCTTCCAGAAGCTGACAATGCGTGTTTCGATTACAAGAAGCGATTTGCTTTGAATCAAATCTTATGAGGTGGAGTTCGGTAACCTTGCTGTGCAGGTTTTCAGAGAGAGGAGCCGGCTGCAGGTGCAGGACTGGGCAGGGGCTTCGGAACTCCGCCATTTTCTCTTTTGTGCAGAGCATCGACCTTTGATTCGATCTGATGCTAGATCCCCAGCCAAGAGGAACCCTCGACGCCAAAGCAGCTCGAGGCAGGGCATTCTGAGACTAACCTGGCGAGAGTGTCCTTTCCCTGTGCCAGGGCTTGCTGCAGCCTTGGATCTGAGAAATTGACATGTGGGCCTTGACAAGCAATCAAGTGCGTACGGGCCACTCAATTCATGTGCAAGATCAAGTGGCTCTGCTTTCACTTCCCGAAGCTTTCCGCCTGGAGTCGGTGCAAAACCGAACCGCACGCATTTGGAGTCACAAGTGTCACACGTGGGAGTTTGGGTTTTTGATTTGCTACCGTTTCACAAGATGCGATGTCTCTTCCCAAGGCCTGCGGCAGAGCTGCAAAGGCTGCGCCACAAGGCTGGGGGACGAGTTGGTGCTGTCAACAATTTTGGTGGGCATCTCGGTAGTTCAGGATGAAATCGAGGAATTTGGGTATCCAGCAATTCAATCTAGCTGCCTAAGGATAGTCTCTGATCAAAACAGAGCGGCGCATGGTGCTAACTTTGGTCAACTCGCGATTGGTTTGGGAACCAGCAGCTAATTGCCTGCCGTATTCAATTTCAAGCCAAACGCATCTCAAGCCAGTTGCTCGAAGCCACCGCGCATTGCAGGAATGTGCATCCAGCAAGAACCTCGCAGCTTCATCTCGCAGCCTTTTCCAGTCTTCAATTGAACATAAGCAACCCTTTCTTGATGTAGGAACCTCTTTATAGCATTCAACCTGGGCTCCTTCAGAGTGCTTGGCAGGCGATCTCATGGTTGCAGCACAAGGCCAAGGAATTGGAATCTTCGCTTCTCGGCCAAAGCCAGCTGAGTTAGTAGTATGTTCGGGTCCCTCAGTTCTTTCTCCATTTCTTTTCAAGGAGTCATGTGTGCCTCAGACTCTAATGGGATGAGGGATGAATGTCATTGTTTTGAAACGACGGGTTTCTGTGAGGACTAGATCTCCGGCAGCAGGTGCGGGTACTGGACTGACTGGACTGACTGGACTGGCCCCGTGGGATTTGGTCGTTGGGCCGTTGGGCCGTTGGGCCTTTGGGCCTTTGGGCCTTTGGGCCTTTGGGCCTTTGGGCCTTTGGGCCTTTGGGCCTTTGGGCCTTTGGGCCTTTGGGCCTTTGCAGGCCGCCATGGGTGGCCGGTTTCGCACCGCGTGCTGCGGACTACGATGCCCGTGGGTGCGAATCTCGGAGTATCCAATGCCAACTGGCGGGTGGGCCGCCCGCACATGCAGGTGCTTGCTACAAGGCAGTCAGCGAGCAGGACTTGTCACCGTTCATCAATGGAATGTAGAGCTTGTCCAGAGGTGCGTTTTTCTGTAGCTCGCCAATCAGGCTTTACAACCCACTCCAGCTTTTCACTCTTGAAACTCACTTTCCAGGAAGCGTTGGCTTTCCTCAGAGCCCACTATGAGGCCGGAATGATTGGGACAAATCTGCCAACTGGCCGGTAATGGGCATCAAGCTGACCTTTGCAGTTTTGCACGCCTCATCCGCTTGAATTCAGTCACTCGAACAAGTGTTTCGGAATTACTGTACATGCACCAGGCTTCCAGCGCCTCATCGGCCTCAGTGCCTAGTTCGTCAGAGAGCAGGCAGCTTAATATTTGCATTTTCAATTCAATGCACGTTCACAGCTTGGCCTTTTGCCCTGCGTCCGTAGGACGTGTGACAGCCATCGGAGCTCATTTCGTAAGCGGCGAGGGACAGAGTTTACCGTGCTGGCAGTGCTTGCTATCTAGGCTCGAAGTGCTTGCTGTCCACGAGCTCCGAAGAAAGTTTACAGTTTGTAGCTCAGAAGATTGAAGTCGCTTCTCGCCGGCAGCACGCACAAGCCGTATATGAGCGTCGCTGTTACCCGCATCGCCGGTGCTGGCATTGGGCACTGAGGCCTTGTGAGGCCTTCCTATGGGCCTCTGAAAGCAAGCTCTGTTTTCAACGGCCAGGAACTCATCTTACGCGATTCTCACTGAAACAAGAGTGATTGTGAACCTCGTCAATCCCAAGGGCTGAAGATGTTGGAGCCTCGGGCCTTCAACTTCACATTGCCAAGCGGATGTTTGGATGATCTTGGAACTCAGCAGGCCTCAAAGCCGCCACGATGGGTCCAAATCAGCGAGATTTCCTCCGTGGTGATGCATTCAGTGCCTAGATGCAATTACCTAAGCAGGGGGTTCTTGTCTGACCCTTGCTTTCGGTTCTGGGAGGTGCATGCAAGGCGGGTTATACAATCTGCAGGCTAACATCCTATACTTCCCCACACATCGTGATCTTAGCATATTTCCTGAGGACTTTTGTTGCCATAAAGGCGATGTACGAAAACCAGTTTACAGTTTGCTGTGTACGCACGAGGGTGTGCAAGCACTGCGCAAGTCTTGACTAAGCAACTATACTCGGACTTGTAACTACAATATTAGGAAACGTTCAGCTTGAACGCAGCCGACCCATGTCTGCCACAATTAGCCGGACATTGAAAGGCCAGCACGCATGCGCTTTAGCAAATAAGGATCGCATGGATCAGTTCAGCCCGTGCGCTCCTTAGAAGAAACTCACTGACAGCAAAGTTGTGCAATGCAGAGAGTGAGGGCATTTGCACTGAGGAATGCTGGCCCATGGTTGACCCTACGTGGGTGTGGCGCACAGCAAATGCCAACAACTTTCTTTGGAGGGCTTTTGTTGATCCATATCTCGTAACAGCCGAGGCCGCGGCTGAGAGGTGGCATGATTCATCAGCCACCCAGCGACCTGAGCCAAAGTCTCCGAATCACGATAGCTGTCAGGTCAGGCTGTGTGCCGCAGTCAGAGAAGCGGATGTGTACGCGCGCCTATTTGAGCCTTTTGGGCCAACGGCTTGCCAGCACAATCCAAACTGGGGAGGATGTGGATTATACATGTGCACTCAACCGGACCATTCCGCTGCCGCCTGGCGCGGATGCCGAGCCGTTGCTGCGAAGCATCGAAGATGCGGTTTGCAGCTTGGACATTGTTCAGGAGTTGCATCCGGACATGCCCCAGGACACCAAGTTTCAGCGGCGAGTCCTTTGCGGGAATCGCATCGCTTTGTGGCGTTTGCTGTCTACTGCCAACGAGATGCCCAAGGAGAAGACAACTGCCCCCCTGGAAGAAGATGTTTCATCTTCCTGGCGCATCCCGCTTCTCAAGTATGGGAACGAAAGTACGACGGGGAAGGCTTTTGTGGAGCTCCACGTGAGAGCTGAGCGGGTGTCAGCAGCTCTATCTAGTCCCGACATCATCGCTTCTCATCATGACGATGCTTGGCAGCCAGCCGAAAGCTCTACAGCCAAAGGCAAGTAGGGAACCGACAGACAGGCTTTGTATTCCAGTCTGCTCTAGGCGCATGGGCTCAAACTAGCAACTAAAAATCCAGAGAACCTAGAGTCTAGACAGGCAGGCAGTGTGAGACCAGACTGTGCGCCTAAGGATTGGGGTCTTGGCACCCAGGCGCTGCAGCTGAAGCTTGGCGACATTTGCGGCGTGGAGCTGACCCAGGAGCCGACAGCCCAACAAAAAAACTAGGAGCGAATTGGAGCGAATTGGAGCGAATGACTGGAGCTCTAGTAGCACTGAGGAAGGCCGCATGTCTGCACAGGACTCCCGCGTAGAGCTTCTTCACAATGGCTTCAGCTGCTACACACTCTCCGCATCCTCGTTCAAAGGCTGCGCGGGCATTAGTCGTGACACAAAATGCCAGACTTTATTGCAAAGATTGCAGGGGCTGCTTTGGATGTTGCAGAACCCTTTTGGTCTTCGTATCAGGTTCTGTGCTTTGTAGAGAGGAGCCCCCTGACTTGCCAAGTATGTTCCATCGAGAAGGAGCTTCAACATTTGCTTTGTAAGATTCTTGTAAAGGGTTCGCGCTGTTCGCCTCGGCCAGTACCATCCGAATTCTTTTGGCTTTGAAGTACAGTGTTTTGGTTCGCCTTACGTGTTTCCTGATTTAGTGAGTCGGCACCACAATGCGTGAGCTGATTTCCAAGATCGTCGTCAAGGGAGGAACTGCTGCCCAGCCCAGTGTGACATTCACAGCCTGAGGGCAGGGCCTCAAGGCATAGTCAGATGGGGACTGGTCGGCGACGCCAGCCAAGGGGCTGGGGCGTGAAGCCATGCCCTGACCTGGCCGAGACCAGGGGAAGCCTGAAGAGGGTTGCTTCCAAGCAGCTGCAGTCGAAGTCCAAGCCAGAGCGTGGGGGCTTGCAGCCAGGTAGGTCAAGAGGTTGGCTGAAGGGGCAGTCCGGGACGTCTGGGCTTGGTGGTGGGGATCAGAGCCAGCCCAAGGGCAGCGCAGGCGCCGAAATAAAGCTAAAGAACGCCATCCCCAGTCTGCACGTGATTCACGGGCTTTAGCCCACGGAGCCTAGATTGACATGGAGCAGTTTGGTCTATCCGGTCAGCGGATTTGCTCGAGGATCTGTTGATTCCAAGCTGGAGTGAGGCATAAAGACTTGCAAATTGCGTTTCAAAGGAGTCAGTAAGTCCTGGTTGCCGATTGGCTTCGTGCCGACAAGGCTGCTTCTTGCAGCTGCCGCTGCTGCAAGGGCGCCTGACGCTGCGAGTGACGCGCCGCGCCCGGAAGACTCCTGAGCTGGACTTTGAGGGGCTGCTGGCCGCGGCCAATCGGGGTGGGCAGAAGCGTCAGGCAGGGCTTCAGCAATGTTGGCTAAAGTGCAGCAAGTGCAGCACAAACCAGCAAGTGGAATCAAATTCTGCGAGTTGGACTCTCAAAGCGTGAAGCACTCTGAGGACTCTGTTTGCATCTGCCATGCAGATCTCATGGTGGGTGACTTGAAGCCCGACTTCGGCGAGTTCCAGTGGCTTCCGCTGGCACATGGCCAGGTGCCGAAGGAGGCAACTTTGTGGTGTCAAAGTCTTCAATACAGTGTCTTTCCATTGCCCACCAAGTTAGTTACATTTGGACGGAATTGCTTCATCACATGATGTTCGAACTGCTTTTTGTTTTGCCTTTACAAGCCAACAGAGTCTTTGCCTCACACTCTCGATTCAGCATGGATATACCATTGGCAGAGTGGGCTAGGCGTTTTAGCCAAACTTCCGCCAAGAGCGTGGATAGCGTGGCTATTGGGTGAAGGGGTGGTGGTGTTAGGGTTTGGGTTGGTAGTGCGGGATATGCTCAATTTGTGACTTGTGTGATGTGCACTGCTTTCAAAGGCCACGTTGAATTCCGATCGCACACCGTGCACCTCGCGTCTGTCTCAGGCGTCGCCGGGCACGTTGCTGGCCTGGTTCGAGGTGGCTTTGGCACAGCCCAGGGGGCCAGCGCTGCAGGTGGCGGCGCGGGTCACGGAGACGCCGGCGCCGCCGCGGGTGACGGTGGGCGACCACGCCACGCTGGCCTTGGAGGAGGCGCTGTTGTACCCCACCAGCCGCAAGCAGCACCAGGAGATTCACAGCATGCATGCACTGACTGAGCTGACTGAGCTGACTGAGCTGACTGAGCTGACTGAGCTGACTGAGCGGAGAGTCAGGACTCCTTAGCTCCAGGCAGCCTGGTTCTCATTGCAATTGGCAATAGGCGGCTGGGCGGTTGCAAGCATGGAGAGCGGTGTGAGAAAGGACTTGTCATCTCGATGCAGCAGCTGGCTTGTTGATCTCGCATTATTATTCTATGATTCGTTTGAGGCTGGGATGAGAGTCGGGCAGGAACCAAAGGAGTTCCGCTGAGACTGTAGGGCGCTGAGAAACTTCTGGAAGAGCAGCGTTGTTGCTACATGTGACGATCATAGAAGATATGGATTGGCCAACGAGGCCGCGCACGATCCTCGAGCTGGTGACATGCTCAGTGTCAGTGCAGCGGGACAGCAACAGATCGTGAACAGTCCAGTATCCCCAACCCACAGCATCGCCCGCTTCCCTTCCGGCACTCCAACAGCATCGCCCGGAGCTACCACTGAGCCCTGTCCACCGCTCCCTGGAACCCCCAGAGCCTTACGAAAACCTCCGGAAGCCGATCTGGCAACCACTCCATGGAGCCCCACAACCTTCCAAAAGCCTATCAGACACCGCTCCGAGGAAACACCCGGATCTTTCCGAATCTGAAGCCTCCGGAACCCTATCCAGCAACTGATCCATCAAACCCCCAAATTCTTTCGACAACACTACAGTATCCAGCAACTGCTCCGGAACCTGTCAAAGGATTCCCAACACCTTCAAGAACTCTCCCAGAACCCCCAAGGACCCCAAATCTCTGGAACCCTCCAGAATTCTATCTAGCCACCATCTTCTGAAACATTCCGGACCCTTTTCCAGCAACCCCATCATGGAAGCCTGGAACCTGCCGGACTCTCCGGAACCCTATCCTATCCAGCCACTCCGGTTCTCCTGAGCTGTATGTTCCAACCATGGCAAAGCATCCAATAGGTCCAGTCAGATCTACCCGATGATCAAGGCCACCGCCCAGCCCTCAGGGCAGTGACGACTTAACCAAGATATGCAAGCAAAAAATAGCAGAACTTGCCAAGAAACAGCTACTGCGAGTTGTTTGCGGGAATTAGGTGCGCAACTTTCAGCTAACCTTCTGCGAAAGCCGCAGCTCCCTGAGTCGTTGCTTTGACTTATGGACTTTTGCTCGTGGACTGCAGGATTTCCTGCGAACTTAAGGCCACCCTGTGAGCAGTGGCCAGACCCAGAACCGGTGCCTGTGAAGTTTGCGAGGGCCTCAGCTCAAACTCGGTGCAACCAGGTCGTCCGTGCAGAGGCCATCCGGAGTGATGAGAATGAGTGCGACTTCCGAAGACGCGGTTTGCCCCGTGCCTGAGCAGTCTGAGCAGTGGCGGACGGAGCCGGATTGTTTCAACAACTCTGGTTCTAAGGCCGGCCACTTGGCAGCGGGTGCAAGAAGCATTGGCACAGGCGGGGCCTCCCGTTTGCAAACACGCGGCCAAGCCATGCATCACACACCTGAAGCGATGGAATTTGTACGCGGATCATGGACTTGGCTTGGACCAGCCTGCCCAGGCTGGGAGCAGACGGGCGGATTCCAGGCAGGGCTGTGAGGTTGCGACAAGAGCGCTGCGAGCGACCCAGGAAGCTGGTGGCTGGGGCCTTGGAGGTGAAGCTTACAGCTCAGCTCAACCCCGATTTCATCAGGAGTCGCTGACCCACGCTCTCCGGCAGGCCGGAGCGCGTGCCAGGGCATCACTGCGCGACACATTTCTCGAAATGCGCACGGGCAATCCTCAATCGGCGCATGCTCCAGAGCGACAACCAGATACGGGGCAGACTTTTTTACTCAGGTCTTGGTAAGGCCAGATGACTTTTACCAGTCGCACATGTGCCTATCTGGATAAGTTCCAAGGTGCCGTTTCGTGCATATGTCCTGTTGCTACTTGCCGTAACCAAGTAACATGTTGTCGCAGTCCTCAGAAGCTAGTCGTGGCCAAGGCAGACATGTATCAAGTGCCCCGTCCAAGATAGTCCAAAGCCCCCAAAGTCAATGCCAAGCCGAAACAGGCGGTTCTTAAACCAAGCTACTTGTACAATCAGCCCGCTCACCAGATTGCTGGTTTTGCTGTATGCTTCTAGCACTTTGTGTCAGCCAGATTTCCCACTTCTTTGGCGCAGGGGGAATTACGACTCGTTGGCGTTTTGGCCTCCGCTGGTTCTTTTTACCATATTGGAGTAGCGGCACAGGTATCATCACGCCGAGTATGACCAATCAAGCCCAGCATCAACCATGCGCAGGTATCGGTGCAAGTGCTGGCTTTGCGAAGCGTGGGCAGCCCCAGACATGTGTTCATTCTGCTCCAGGCAGCTCTTGGATGTACACTCCTGTACACGCCACACGCCTTTATGCTGATTTGGCAGTCTAAGGACAGCACCTGCGATGTTGAGCTCTCGCCTGGCTTTGTTCAGAATTGGCAGGCAGTGCCCATTCGATGGTCTGTCACTGCTTATGCCTGTTGAACAGCGGGGCATCTTCCCGGCAAAGGCTTCAAGGGTTCTTAATGCAAGATGCCGGTTTGTAGATGTGTTGCCGTCTCGGACGTTGTGGGGAGACTTGCAATTTCTTGCAAAGCTTTCGTCAGGCGCACCCTGCTCGGCTCGCGGCTGAGCTCCAAGCAAGCCAAACTCGCTTTCTTTCTTTCTTTAATTCTTTCTTTCTTGCTTTATTTCTTTCTTGCTTGCGTTCTTTCTTTCTTTCTTTCTTTCTTTCTTTCTTTCTCTCATTCTTTCTCCTTTCCGGTCTTGCTGGCCATTTGGCCTCGCTCCCCTTGTCCTTTGGCTGCTTGAAACTGGGAAATGTCGGGTGTGCTGTTTCATGGAACCTGGTAGGCGGTACTGCTTGCCGGGAACAGCAACTGCCCTGGGCGAGCAGGGATCCCTAGCTCAAGCGCGGAGAGAAAGAGACCTTCGCTGCCTTCGCTCCTCAAGGCCCCTGCGGCTGGTTCTGTCTGGCGTTCCTCTGGAAATGATCCAGGTGACCCTGGCCAGCTCGTCGATAGAGTCGATACAGAGAGAGAGCGAGAGAGATCTGCAGACTGCGGAAACAACACGTTGACACTTTGGGAGAAGTGATCGAACTACAAAAGCAGCCAAGCAACACCATGCAGCTGAATGCCCTGAGCCTCAAATGCCATAGCAGCTTGCGTGCAGCTTTTTGCAAGAAATGGCGCGGCTTGGTTCTGTCAGCCATTTTTGGACAGAAGCTGTGTCTAAATCTTACCAAAGCAGCTCGCACGCTGTATTTTGCAAAAAGGGAAACGACCCTTTCCCCCAGCCAGCAAACATCTTACAGATCTTTTTCAGAGGGTTTTGGTTTGGTGGCTTCAAAGAAGGGGTTCTCACCCAAGCGCCAATCAAAACCGCCAACTCAAGGGTATCTGCTGCTTCTGTGCCCTGAGCCAAGCTGATCCGAAACAGTTCAATCGCCAGCACGCTGGACGCCCCAGGGACCCAACAGGGCGTGGCTACCCGAGCCCAAATCGTGCCAGGTTGTTTTGATCAGATTGGGATTGTTTGAAGCCCAGAAGCGCTGACTGCCTGGACCTTGCCGCGCTTTGCAAGTGGCGCGCAGGATAAGGCACGCCATCGTTCGCAAGAAATGGCGTTCGGGCATCCCTAACCCAACACCTTTCCCACGTGGCTTCGCATCGGTTTGCCTTGTTGTTGTTTTTTTTGCTTTTGCGGCTTATGGCTTTTGTGGCGTTGGATTCCTTTCCACCCGCACCTGCCACTAAACCAATCCAAACCATGCGTCCAAGCCTTCCCCAAGCACCCCCAAGCCAATCCTAAACCTAGCCTAGAACATCTCTAAGTATACCCTGCACCCTCCTGAAGGCCACCTTGAACTTATTCTTAACCTACCCTATACCATCTCTATCACGCACCCCAGACACAGCCGCAATCTACCTTGAAGCCAATCTTGAGCTCATCTCAAGCTACCTCTACACCCAAAATCCACCAGAAAGCACCCCTAGACACGTCCTAGTGCAACGCTTAGACAGTTCTGACAACTCTCTAACTCCACCAATTGGTTCCTTCAACACCGCATCCATCTTGCAATATCGCATCGAGGTATGAGCTGCGTCAGTATGTTAAAGGATTCAGCTCCGATGCTGGACTATTTATTTCAAGTTTCCGCGCATGTTCCGAATGGGCAACTAGGAGCGTGTTGTTTCTTGCAGCATGTGTAGGCAAACCTGCCCGCGGGTCCACAATTTCACCGGAACCCTTGCCAACAGCTCCCGAACCCTCCCCCGCCGTTGGTATAGCAGTTCGCGAGTGCGTAGAGCTCCCGACCGTTGAGGAGCAGGTCCACGTCCCAGGGAAATCCCGCCAGGGCCACAATGGTGTTTTGATGACCCCCCACCAAGCCACCATCTTCCAAACGACTCGTTCACTTATCGCTTCATCCGTGCACTTGGTCCAGGCCACTTTAGATTGTCTTTGTATCATCACAGCCCACCCCTGGATAGCTGCAACATGCTTCAGCTCTATCTTACCAAGAAGCGCGGCGATCAACTTGCCAACGCAAGTTGCGGTGACGCCAGGCAAAGCATTCAGCCAGCTTCCCCGTCTATGACGCTTCCACTTTACAACCTGAGGATGCCGGACCCTTGGAGTGGAATGCTAGCAAGCTGTCCAGCTCTCCAAGGGCTTTGGCTGATAAGGCTTTTTGGCCTCTAGTTGGTCAATTGGCACGGAGGTGAATTCAGCCATTTTATCCCCAGGCGATCGTGACGTCCAAGCGAAAAGCTGGCTGCATCGTCGCTGGTCCTGTCCCTCTAGTCTGTTCCTTAGTGGATGCATCCAGGAAACATTCATTGGTGCATCAAAACAGACTTCCTTTTTTGTCTCGTGACAATTTGCAGCCAAATGAACGTCGCAAGTTGACGAGAATCAATCATTTTCCTCAAAAGCCAATACTTTTTCTGCATTCCGCAGCTGGTGAGCCTGGGGGCTTGCAGGATGTTGCCTTATCTCGTCACGAGTGGATGCTCCACCTGCGGGTGCTGGCCTCAGTACCGATTCGCATGCTCGCACGGGAATCGCTCACAGGAGTTGACTGGCTTCCGTTAGCATTGCTGCCGCGACATGTACATGGTAGATCCAGAGGCAAATGCTGAGAGAGACGCTATTGGCCGCGGAGCATGCACGCATCATGTATGGTGGCGCCTGAGGTGGACAATGAGCAAAACCTTCACCGGCTGGTAGCGAACATCCGACAATGTGTGCTAGGGCCAAGAATGCGAGTGTGCACACTGCGTGCATGCAGCGGCGCGAGTGATGCACCACACCTGCCAAGGTGCGTCTGCAGACAGAGGCGGCAAGCAAGGGGTGCCAGTGCATGGCAAGAATAGAAAGCATGGCAAGCATTTCTGTCAAGCAAGCATTTCCGTCATGTCACGACCAATATGAGGGGTGTTGCCTCTGCCCGATGTACTTGCCACCTTGTCTCAGTCTCAAGCGTGTTTTCAGGGCCTTGTGGCCATGCCTGTGAAGCCGCGGGATGTGACGCAGCTGCAATCATTGGAGGATTATTTCTACTGTATCCGGGACTCGTCTGAGTTCTATGCTTCCACGGCAGTGGAGCTGGCAGAAGTTAGATGGCGGTTCCCTCGAACCAAGCAGAGCTTGCTGTTTTTTGCAGCGGCCCGTACCCAAGAGAGCGGTGGGGCCGAGACGCTGTGCAGGCGACTAGCAAGGCGCCATGTTGACCTTCAGGCAAGAGATGTATGGGGACAGACTCCCCTTTTCTATGCTGCCAGAGAAGGCAACACGTCATGCTGCGAGTTTCTTGTTGAGCTGGGCATGGATGTGAACCTCCGCGACAAAGATGGGGCGACGGCACTTTTCTATGCAATTGAACAGCTGCGGGTGGAAACTGCAGTTTCCCTGCTGAAGCGGGGAGCTTCTTTGGGTTTGGTGGACTCCTTCCGGCAATCCGCCTACTCCATCGCGGCACCGCAGATGCTGAAGGCCCTTGAGAAGGCGTTTCCGCAGTGGTCAGAGGCAGAGAGCCGAAAGAACTTTCGCGACTCGAAGAGGCAAAGAACGTCTTCTGAGTCCGTGGCTGCCGGCCCCAGGGCGCTAGCATCTTGGGCTCAGACAGCCCCTCTGGACCCCATGGACATGGAAGGGGTCGTGGTGGAAAGTGACACGTATGCGGTCATAGCTCCCAAGATGAGTTCAGTTGCTGCTATCCGACAACTGGAAAAGGAGTTTGTGAAGGACCATGCTGATCTGTTTGCAGGTGAATTGTTCACCTTTGCAACGTCACCCAAAGATTGGTGCGATGCCGTCTCTGTGCGGCATGCAGACAGCACAGCCACCAGGGTCATCAAGAACCTTGTGGACAAGCGAGACGGGCACTTTGTCCTTGCCGCGCTGGGCAAGTCATCGCGCCAAATTGCTGGCTACGTCCATGCATATTTGGATCGCAAGGCTGCCACCCTGTTCATCGGGCATTTGAAAGTGACGGCTGAGCATCAACGACGCGGAGTTGGACGACTGCTGGTTGATTCTGCTGCCCTTCAGGGTCAGGCAGAAGGCTGGCAGTTCAAGAAATTGGCACTGCATGTGATTGAAAAGAATCTAAAGGCGTGCCGATTCTATGAAAACTTGGGCTTTCATGGCAAAGCAGTTGAGGTCCAAAACGGGGAGAGTGCAGCATCTGTCAGTGATTTGTACAAGTACATCAGGTTTGAAAAGCAGATGTCAAAGACTGGTCAATGACTCGACACATACAATGGCAACAGAAGGAAGCTGCAGCGTGACTGCTGTGCGCCTAGACTAGTGTTGCCATTTCGCAAATGCACGAGAATCGGAAAAAGGCATCACGCGCCAACACTCTTTATACCACATTGGTTCAGAGAGCCTGCAGTGCTCGCGAGCTTCCCTCCATTTTCATGCCGCCAGGTCTCAAAACTGCCAGAGGCACAACAGAGACTGGATATTGCAGGCATGGCAAGCACGGTGACTTGTGCCACACAGGGCAACGCTGGTTGCAGCATGGGCCAGCTTTTGCCTCAGAGTCAGCAGTGATTTGCACACCTGTACCTGCCCGAACAGCGAGAAAGAGAGAGAGAGAGAGAACTTTCTTGGCTCAGCATGTAATTGGAGCCCTATGAGAGCAGCCTGCCTCTTGAAACAAGCGTCGCAGTCATTGTCACGCTTCACCAATGTGTGGCGGGTTTGTCGCACCACAGACCAAGTTTCTCGCAAGAGCGTCTAAAGGCGCATCCACAACACGGGGGCAGCTTGGCAATCCAACAAGACGCACAAGGTTGCTACCATATGCAGGCAAAATGGCCATTCATATGTCGAAGCAAGACAAGACACTCGCCATTATTTTTAATGAATCATATTGCTGAAAGCGTGGAGTGGCAAGGACTTTGAACCTGGCAACCTTTATGCAAACAAATCTACGCAACACGGATCGCACGCCCCTGGCAGAAAAACTCATAGATGCAAGTGTTTGTTTGCTTAAAGAGGCAAACGATGGTTTTTTTTACTCAGTTGACATGTTGGCTCCACTGTTGATGCTGCTTGATGGAGGGGCCACTTGCATCCAACAGTTGCGACAAGGAAGATTGCCTTGTGGTTTCAGGTTGGAAGTTTTACTCGTCCGCGCGAAGAATGTTTTCCCCAGGAGCGTCTTTGAGTGTGAATTGCCAGCACTGTGTTACCTTTCCCGCTGCCCCGCATTGCCTAGGCGTTGGCCTTCGTTAGGTACAAGCAAGTGAGTCAGATGTGCCGTTTCTGTGAGCGCCAGGAGAGTGTGCCGCCTGAGTCTGAGCAAAGGAGTCCGGGTCGTTTGCGAACTGCGCGGGAAGATGAATTGTGAACGTTTTGTCGAGTGCAAATTTTTGTGAGCTCAGTTGCCAAGGCTCTGTAACAGGCTCCCTGGATGCGATCATAGGAGGAAAGCCAGTCATGCAGGCTCGGCTCCGCATCACGTTGCCGTTGGCCATTGGCCATTCCATACACACAGACACAGAGTTGCTTGCTGGATGGAGGCTGTGAAGGATTTACTCCAACCGGAGCAACACCTTAGACTGTTTGTTCGTCTCCGGCTTTTCCAGGGGGAGAAGGCGCCTAGATGTACCACAATATGTTGGCTTGACATCAAGATCAGTAGGGCAATCTGAGTTGCAATTCAGCAATCAGGTGCTAAGCATCCTTGGCGAGGAGTACTTCGATTCGCCCGTGCAGGAAGGTTCGATAAGCGCAGCTCCCACTCAACTGCACTTTGAACGGGATGCGCAAATGCAAGCTTGATTAAGGCCCCTGCTGGACTGGGCTGGACCATGACGGCATTCATGATGGTGCGCCACATGCTAATTTATATTCACTTCATGATTTCAGCCGTGAATGCCCACCAAGAACAACATTCCTAATATTCCTATGTAGTGCAGTCGCAAAACTGATTAATCTAGAAGAGTTGGATGAACCTGGCAGAACGGGCTTGACTCATAGGTGGGCAATTGAATGTCATCCTGGCCAGGCTGGGCTTTCAACACCCTGGCCTTTGATCCAGCAAGGCGTGCAGCCGGTAGCTATCAAGCTGGTACAAGACATACACCTGCTGAATTCACTCAAACTCTTTTCCAGGCTTGGATGGCAAGCGTAGTGTTTCTTTCTTTCTTTCTTTCTTTCTTTCTTTCTTTCTTTCTTTCTTGTTTGGCAATGGCCGCAAGGATGTCTGGTCTCGTGCTGGAGCTGGAGCTCTGCAACCAAAGCCTCGCCGGATTCCTTTCTTAGATGAGCTTCATGACTTGAGCAAGCGTTGATCAGGGCGGAGAAGACAGCCTCGGAAAAGTCCGCATTCCAGTGACGCACAAGAACTTCCTCACAAATGCACAGGCGCATAAGATCACAATGCCACTTTGCAACATTTGACGGTTCGCGATGATTTCAGTGGCTTGGTCAGGAGCCTTTCAGAAATCTTTGGTTGCTGCAGCCCCGGTGTCCAAAGTACCCCCGCAAAGGAACGCCAGCTTTCTCAGCAGCTGCACGTCACATTTGTGATGTAAGGCCTTTGACGTCAGAGGAGGATGGCAAGTGGATGGTGTCTTGGCAAGGACGTCTTTGCAAAGATACAACGAATTCAATAGCTGCATCCAACGAAATGCGACATACTGCTTTCTCGCAACTGTTTCTCAAGTGGGGAAGACATTTTGATACGAGACGATGGAACAGAGCTTGCGGAAGTCCACCAGAGACACGATGAATCCTTTGGCACACGCGTTGAGGTCACCCAGTGCGGAGATATACACATTCTCACACTGTCCTGCAGCTCAGAGACTAGCTTGTGACTGATGAAGCTTCCATGCAGATCTTTGGAGAACCAACAGTTTCGCCAGCCTTGCCATATTTACCTCAAGCCTGGCTAGAACCAACACATCACCTCAAGCCTGAGAGCGCAGGGGCTCAGAGGATCAGGGCCGACCAGAATGACTGAAAGAGATGTGATAGATGGTCTGCCCGTGAGCGGAGCTGTCAACTCCATGTTGGCACTGCAAAGCCCTCAGCGCGCTGTTGTGGATCTCTTCCTGGAGACGGCAGGCACCATGCTCGCTGTGCTATTTCTCTCCGCTCCGATGTCACAGGTCTGTCAGCTACATGCCAGCCCAAAGAAGATCAACTCCATCAACCCTATGAATTTGCTGTCCCTCCACGCAAATTGCGCCTGCCAAGTGATCTACGGAGTGTTTCTCCCAGTGTATCCGGCAGTTCCAGCAAACCTCTATGGCCTCATCGCATCATTTTACTATCTAGCAGTGTGCTGGCGTAGTGTGATGCGGCTGGGTGGATTGAAGCGGCTGGGCGGATCAGCACAGTGGAATAAAGGAGCAGCTATTGCCACTGCTGCCACTCGCTTGAAAGGCAACTTTTGAGAGCAGTATTCAGATTAGCACCCTTTTGCTTCTCCAAGCCTTGAAACCATTTGCTGGGATGCACACCCTCCAGCGCCCAGGTCACGTTGGGAACGTCCTTGCTGCTTTTCGCGTATTGCGCGCTTCACCTGCACCCAGCCGCTGCGGAGCACGCAGGCCACGTGGCCCTGGTGTGCAACGTGCTGCTCTTCGCAGCGCCGCTCAGCGCGGTGGGCCAGGTGCTGCGTGACAAGTCTTCGGAGCTGCTGCCGCTCTTGCAGAGCCTCTTGGGGCTGCCACCCGGGGGAAACGCGGGGCGACGGGAAGAGATGGGAGGGAAGGATCGGAATGCAGGAGCATGAGGCTTGTTTTCACAGGGTGACAGCATAGCCGAGGCTGTGCAGTGCCTGCTGGACCTTTATTGGCTTGCGTCATGGAAGTCAGCCGCTGTGGGTCCCAAATGCGTTAGGCATTTGTTTGTCGCTGATTCAGCTGATGCTTTGCTTGATTGGCAAAGGGTCTTTCTTTTTCTTTGCTGAAATGTAAAAAGGAGGTGTGAGGTGCACGGCATGTGCCGCTTGCCCAAAGCGTTCCGTTCAAGCAACGCCACTGACAGAGGATGCTGATTTGGGCCTTTCCGCTGGAAAAGCAGACCAAGGTTGCGATTGTCCAGCCATCATGAGTCACTGACACATCTGACCAAGCAGGTCCTCGTTCCAGGATGCGCACGGACGGGAGAGGCGTCACTGGCTTGTGTCTCGTCACGATGGTATTCATCGCTACTTCACTGCTCCTCCTCAGCGACCACTAGCAGTTGGTGCCTGGACTCCGGAAGAGGATGGTGAAGGGAGAGCAGGATCAAATGGTAATAAGCTTGCCATATATGCCTCTGACACCCATGGGATTGCTGCGTCAATGAGAGCGACAGCAAAAAGGTGCAGATTAATTAGTCTGTTCGCGCAGACACATTAGGCACATTGCTTATCGATTGTTTCGTGGGCTTTTGATGTCGGAGAGTTAAGGTGGCAGCCACTCGGCCCAGATCAACCTCCAGGCGTTCATTCGTGAAATATAAGCGGCAAACTTCGTGCTTGTTCTGCGAGAGATCTCTCTCTCTCTCTCTCTCTCTCTCTCTCTCTTGGTCTGTCTGTTGCTAGTTTTTCTAGTCTCTGCATGTGCCTTCGTTTGAAAACCATGGTAGTAGTTTGGCCGAGAGCATTTGTACTTTTAAGCCTTGCGCCTGTGCCTGCAAAATTTCTAGGCCAGGCACCAGGGACTTATCGAAGAAGCTCTGCAATGGCCTACCTGAAGCATCAAGTGAGGCCGTGCGCTTCATGTGCAGATGCATCAGTGCTTGTCCAGATGAATTGCTTACAAGGCAGCAGCTGGACCGCTTTCTTTGCGGTGCCCATCAAATGCAGATCTGCGGCTGCGCCCGCCTCTCAGAGCGCCGACTGGCTGCTCCGCTCGTAGAATTCCATGCCAAGGATGGACAAGTCCCTGGCACAGTCTGAGCCCTGGCTCATGCCTTTTGTGGCGGCTTTTGTGATGCAGAGATTCACTTACTAGCGTGTGCTTCATGTTTTATCAATGCCTTTCACCTCGTCCCAATCGAATGTGTCAAAGTTTTCTTGAGCCATTGGGTCCCGCGTTTTTGATGGTACCTTTCAGTTGGCATTCGCCATGCAACGCCCATCAATCTTGCTCAGGACACGTCTATTTTGACTGAGGCCTCAGGCTCGGAGAAACACTTTCGGGCTTGGTTGACAACTTGCATGCTCGGCAAGTGCAAACGTGCAAACGCCTGAACGATGATGATGATGCTGGTGATGGTAATGATGATGGTGGTGATGGCGATGATGGTGATGGTGATGAGGATGATGATGGTGATGGTCATATGATGATGCTGGTGCTGATGATGGTGGTGATGGTGAAGATGATGGTGATGGTGGTGATGATGATGTGGCGATGATGGTGGTGATGATGATAGTGATGATGATGGTGATGATGATGATGATGGTGATGATCATGGTGATGATGATGGTGGTAATGGCGATGATGGTGATGGTGATGAGGATGATGATGGTGATGGTCATATGATGATGCTGGTGCTGATGATGGTGATGGTGCTGATGATGATGTGGCGATGATGGTGGTGATGGTGATGATGGTGATGATGATGGTGATGATGATGATGATGTTGATGATGATGGTGATGATGGTGGTGATGGTGGTGATGATGGTGGTGATGATGGTGGTGATGATGATAGTGATGATGATGGTGGTGATGGTGGTGATGATGATGGTGGTGATGATGGTGGTGATGCTGATGGTGATGTGATGATGATGATTATGGTGATGATGATGATGGTGATGATGATGATGGTGGTGATGATGATGGTGGTGATGATGATGAGGGTGGTGATGATGGTGATGGTGATGGTGATGATGATGGTGGTGATGATGGTGATGATGATGGTGGTGATACTGATGCTGGTGATGATGATGGTGATGATGATGGTGGTGATGCGATGATGGTGATGGTGATGATGATGATGGTGATGATGATGGTGGTGATGGTGATGGTGATGGTGATGGTGATGATGATGCTGATGATGATGATGATGGTGGTGATGATGGTGGTGATGGCGATGATGGTGATGGTGATGGTGATGATGGTGATTGTGGCATGGTGGTGCTGGTGCTGATGATGGTGGTGATGGTGAGGATAATGGTGATGGTGCTGATGATGACGTGGCGATGATGGTGGTGATGGTGATGATGGTGATGGTGATGATGATGATGGTGATGATGATGATGGCGATGATGATGGTGATGATGGTGATGATGATGATGGTGGTGATGATGGTGGTGATGGTGGTGGTGATGATGGTGATGTGGTGATGATGGTGGCGATAAGGGTACGGATCAGGTGAAGAAGAGATGAGGAGGAGGATTAGGCTGATTATGATGATGTAGGTGACAAAGTCAAGAATCGTGCTAATGGCAGTGACAAGTCTGATCGCAATGACAGCGGGTATCACGATGGTAGCAATGAGCGCTTTCCAG